GGTGGGGGTGGGAGAGAGTGAGAGACAGAGCGAGGCGAGCGCCGATTGGGTGGCTCGGCCCAGAAGGGCAGGACCAACGTGTCCGGACAAAACCCTGACCCTCGGAATTCAGAGTCCGGAGTCCGTGGGAATCCGGTGGCGAAAAGTCCCAGGACCTGTTGGAGAGGGGAGCCGGTTCGAATCTGAGACCTTCCGGGTAAGTCCCGCTTGCTTGCAAACCCTCCGTCCAGCCCTGCAGATGAGGGGACGAAAGCTCAGCTACGGCAGGGGCGGGCAGGGAGGAACTCCAGCTCTGTCCAGAGCCAGGTTTTGCATCAGCCCCACGAGTAGGTGACTTCCTACTCCCAGGAGGAAGAAAGCCCTGAGGGGCAGTGAAACTTGCCCAGGGTCACACCGTCTGGAAGTTACCTGGGGAAACACACAGCTCCTTTCCACTCTTCCGCACGTGGCAAACTCCCTCCAGCCCTGGATAGGCCCCTTCACACACAGAGGACTCCTTCCAGAGGGTGCCTTCCTACCCCTTTCACAGCCCCAGCTGCCCCTGTCTATCCCCACTACCATGGGAACCCACTGCCTCCTCTCCCGGCTCTGCCCTCTGTCCAGCCCTACTACAGCCATGAAATTCTCGTTTTATTTAAATTTCTTTAAAACAGTACCTAAGGCCTCTTGTATGGTAGAGCACTTCCTCGGGAACCCAGGCAAGTGCTCTACCACTGAGCTACAGCCCAGGCCCGTTCATTTTATTTTCTGTTTTGAAACCGCTGACTATGGAATGAGGCATAAGCACAGAGGTCAGGTACATTTTCCCTACATGAACGCCTGATTGCTTAACAATGTGCTGTACCATACAGTGGAGTTTCAAACTGGGAGTTGTGTGGAAGGAGGTTACTGACCAACTGCAAGGTGTCCTCTGACCTTCACAGTGTACCCTGGCACACACTGCCCCCCTCCCTCATATATACACAAAGTCAATAAATGCTAAAACTTTAAGAAAAAAAGGTCAGTGTTTTTTAAAGTGTGTAGGGGGGTGATAGCTAAATCGAGTCAAATCGGGAGAAAGCACAGGACAGAGACAAAAACTCGCCAGGGGCAATTTGACAGAGGCTATTCTCTCCTGATAAGCCTTGGGGACTCTCTGTCCCACCTAACTTTTTAAAAAATATTTTTCCGCCTTCCACAACCCCCGAAAGCCCCCTATAAAGACCCCCAGCCAACAACCTGTAGACTGACAGCTCCTCTATCCCAAAACGGGAATTGTGGGGAATTGTCCAGTGTGTTTTCCTCTGCTAATAAACTCTATTCCGCCAGAGTTTTTGTCTGTGTCCTGGTGCTTTCTCCGATTTGACTCGATTTACTTATCCAGGCTGCTGGAGAAATGGCTCAGCAGTTAAGATCACTGGCTGCTCTTTCTGGTTCTGTTCCCAGCATCCAGATGGGAGCTAACAGTCTGTAACTCCAGTTTGGGGGGACCCAACACTCTGTTCTGGCCTCTCTGGGCATTGCACATACATGGTCTACTTATATCCATGCAGGGAAATCATTCATACACATAAAATAAAAATAGTAATTTAAAAAAGAAAAAAATCCAAATGCATTTGCCAGCTTTGGGGGCACAGATGGGTCCATTCCTTACCCAGGGTTTTCTCTGTTCACTTAACATCTCTCGAGCACTTTTTCTTAGCCTAAAGACCTTCCTTGCAGCTACAAAGAATTCAGTAGGGGCTGGAGAGATGGCTCAGTAGTTAAGAACATTGTTCTAGCAGAAGACCCGGGTATGAATCCCAGCACCCACATGGCAGCTAACAACTGTCCATAACTCTAGTCCCAGGGGATCCGACAGCCTCTTCTGACCTCCACAGGCATTGTATGACATGGATGCACTTACCTACATGCAGGCAATACACGCATACACATAAAATAAAAATAATAAAAAATTTGAAAAAAAAAAAAAAAAGAATTCAGTAGTGAGAGTCAGGCCTGGCACAGGCTTGTAATCCTAACTTCTCCAGAAGCAGAAGGAAGCAGGTGAAATTCAAGGCCTAGGCAATTTAGCAAGAGTATCTCAAAGCTAATGGTATTATCTGAGCATGGAGGTTCATCTTGTTAGAGTAGCATTCGAGTGGTTGAGACAGAGGATCAGGAGTTCAAGGTCACCTGGCTAGTTCAAGGCCAGCCTGGGATACTTTAAACTGTGTCGAGAGAGAGAGAGAGAGAGAGAGAGACAGAGAGACAGAGAGAGAGACAGAGAGACACAAAGAGAGACAGAGACAGAAAGACAGAGAGAGAGAGGATGTAGTTTAATTTGTAGAGTATTGCCTAGCATTCACGGAGCTCTGGGTTTGATCCCCAGTCCCACGTGAACTAGGTGTGGTGGTGCACACCTGTGGTGGAGGCAGGAGGGTCAGACGTTCAAGCTCTTCCTCAGCCACATAGTGAAAAAAAAATTAAAAGTATTAGCTTGGCATTCAGACTCATGCCTGTAATCCCAGGATTTAAGAGGCTGAGACAGGAGGATTGCCATGAGTTCAAGGCCAGCCTTGACTGTGTGAGACCAGGCCTGCCAAATAGTCATAATAGATTGGGGGTTGGGGATAAGGCACAGGGAGTCATTAGGAACAAGGCTAAATGTTTGTGTAGGACATCATGGGTTACCGGGAAGCCAGGTTCCAAATGTTCTCAGTCTGATTTTTTTTTTTTGTACACGTGTATTGTCTGCATGTAGGTAAGTGCATCCGTGTCGTGCAATGCCCACAGAAGACAGAAGAGGCTGTTGGATCCCCTGGAACTGGAGTTGTGGACAGTTGTTAGCTGCCATGTGGGTGCTGGGATTCAAACCCGGGTCTTCTGCAAGAACAGCCAGTATTCTTAACTGCTGAGCCATCTCTCCAGCCCTCAGTCTGATTATTAAAGTGTGGGAATGTCTGCCTTTGTGTTTGGCCATTTGTCTCTACAGCCCTGTCAAAAAGTTGTGTGACAAATAACTTGGTCCCTGCAAGATAAATACTTAGGGGCAGATTCTGGGTTAGAGGGTTTATGTCTCTGGCATTTTGAGGACCGTGGCGTGTGGTCATGATCCTGTCAGCCCAAAGGGCACCTCAGTGTCTGACACATGTCAGGCTTTGTGACATTCAGCCCCTCTGGAGCTCCCTGCTGTCCACATACTTCCAGGGCCTTTACGATCCTCCCTGTGACTCTCCTGCTCACCCATCCCTCAGAAATGTCTCTTGGTGCCTGGGTGTCTCTTGAGCTCAGGACTGGGGGAACTCTGAGAATGGGAAGGGTCATCCAAGGGGCTGGGGAGATTGCTCAGTGAGAAAAGTGATTGCCCAGCCCACATGGTGGTGGGAGATGAGGGATGGAGATGGGCGACACTCCGAAGTTCCCAGGCCAACTAGCCTGGCTTAGCCTGGCCAGTAAGAGACCGCATCTGAACCGAGGTAAAGGTGGGAACCAACACCTAAAGTTGTCCTCTGGTCTCCATACATGTGCCACAGAATGTGGGGGTCTATACTTACACACACACACTCCAGGAAAGGGAGCAGGGGCCCCGAGGTAGGACTTGGCTGGGCTGAGGCTGGGGGCATCTACAGCCGCGTGGCCTTGTGCACATGACTTGCATCTCAGCCCTCAGGACTGGTAAAAGAATGGGGCCAGTAGGGAGTAGTTGACAGCTTTGTTTTTTTCAGATCATTTTGGCAGGGGCTGGGGATGTAGCTGGATTGGTAGACTGCTTATCTAGTGTAACTGAAGCCCTGGTTACATTCCCAGCATTCCGCAGGTAGAGATAGAAGTTCAAGGTCAACTTCTGCATGTAGATACGAAACCAGCCTGGGCTACATGAGATTCTGTCTCAAAAAAACAACCTGGAGCTGGGGAAATGGCTCAGCTGGTAAAAGCACTGATTGGGTTCCATTCCCAGAACCCACATGGCAGCTAACACCTATCTTTAACTCCAGTTCCAGGGGATCCAATGCCCTCTTTTGGCCACTATGGGCACCACACACACTTATATACATACAGGCAAAATACTCATACACATAAAATAAAAACAAATGAAATATATATTTTTTAATTTGGAGGTGGGTTGAGACAGGGTCTCACTATGTAGCCCTGGCTAGCCTGGAGCTCCCAGTGTATGCTAGGCTGACCTTGAACTCACAGAGATCCACCTGCCTCTGCTTCTCAAGTGCTGGCATTAAAGGTGTGCATTACCACATCCAGCCCCCACCCCCCAAATATATTTTTAAGATTTGTTGGGTTTTGGTTTTTGTTTTTGTTTTTGGTCTTTTTTGAGACAGGGTCTCCCTGTAGCCCCAGCTGTCCTGGAACTCACCATGTAGACCAGGCTGGCCTCGAACTCACAGAGATCCACCTGCCTCTGCCTCCTGAGTGCTGGGATTAAAGGCGTGAGCCACCACGCCTGGCAAGATTTGTTTTTATAGGGCTAGAGAGATGGCTCAGTGGTTAAGAACATTGGCTGCTCTTGCAGAGGACCCCGGTTCAGTTCCCAGCACCTACATGGCAGCTAACAGCTGTCCTTAACTCCAATTCCAGAGGATCCCATTCTCTCTTCTGACCTCCAAGGGCACTGCAGGACATGGGTACACTTTACATACGTGCAGGCAATACACTCATATACATAAAAATTTTTTTTTATTTAAAAAAGAAAGTTTTAGTTTTAGTTTTATGTATGTGTGTGTATAGGCCACATGTGTGGGTACCCAGAAGGCTAAAAGAGGGTGTCAGATCCCCTGGAGCTAGAGTTACAGGTGGTTGTGAGCCATGCAACATGGGTGCTGGGAATTAAATATGGGTCCTCTGGAAAAGCAGCAAGTGCTCTTAACCACTAAGCCATCTATCTGTTCAGCCCCACCCCCAACATACACCTCATTTTTTGAGACAAGTTTTCTCATTGAACCTGGAGCTTATCAACTTGGGCCTGTGAGCTCTAAGATCTGCCTGTCTCCACCCCATGCCCCAGTGCTGGGGTTACAGGTGTGCACTGAAGCTTTGTTTTTGTTATGTGAGTGCTAGGGATCCAAACTCAGGTCCTCATGCATTAACTTCAGTAAAATGTGTTTGGTGATATGCTCCTGTAACCCCAGCTACTTGGATGGTTTAGACAGGAGGATGGAAAGTTCAAAGCCAGCATGGACAACCTAGTGAGACCTTGTCTCAAGTAAGAAGGAGTCGGGAATGGTGGTACAAACCTTTAATCTACTCGGAAGGCAGAGGCAGGTGGATCTCTGTGAGATTGAAGCCAGCCTGGTCTACATGTGGGCCAGTTGGGGCAACAGGGAGACCCTGTCTCAAAAAAAAAAGGAGAGGAGGGAGAAGGCTGGGAATATAGTTTAGTACTAAAGCAATTGCTTAGCATGAAAAATGTTCTAAATTAAACTAGATTTGGGAGTACACGTCTGTAATCCCATTTCCCTCAGAAAACCCCAAAGGTGACCACTATCTTGACCCCATCACTATAGGCTGTGTTTGCTAGGTGTTGACCTTTTGCAAATCTTATGTTTATTTTTCACTAGACAACGTGTTTGTTACAGATTGTGCAATCTTAATTTTTTGTTGTTTTTTTTTTTTTTGGAGACAAGGTCATTATGTAACCCTAACTGGCCTCCAACTCTTGGCTCCGCCTCCTGGCTAAACCTTCAGAGTGCTGGGATTATAAGCAAGTGCCACCGTTCCCAGCCCCTTTATTATTTCAATTATTTAAAAAAAAAAAGTGGGGGGGAGCGCCCTTTAAAACAAAAGCACAGTGAACTAGTTAGTCATGTAATCAGAACTGTGAAAGAAAAGGATATGGTTTTCTAAGGAAACATGATCCATGTCAGCAGGGTCTAGAGACTTGCCCTGGAATTCTCTGTGTAGCAGAGGATGACTCTGAACTTCTGATCTTCCTGCCTCCACCTCCAGAGTGCTGGGATTGCAGGCTGGTGCCACTCTGGTTCTTTGTTTTTTATGCCTTTGTGCATGGTAGGTAGGCAAGCACTCCACCATGTGAACTACATCCCTAACCCCCAAAATGATCTTTTGTAACACACAGACCTGACAACTACTACCCCCTGGCCTCTGTGGGGTTTCCCAGTTCTGAATACTGGAGATACAAGCCCTGCCCACAAGGCCACAGGGTTTGAAATCCCTCCAGCCTCAGCCCAACCAAGGCCTCAGGACCTCTGCTTCCCTTTTCTGGCGTGTGTGTGTGTACTTACCACAACACATATGTGGAGACATGACCTCTTATCTTTCCTCTGTTGGCTCTTCACCTCCCCAGTGTCCCCCTCTGTGGGGTCTCCACCTCCCCAGTGTCCCCCTCTGTTGGCCCTCCACCTCCCCAGTGTCCCCCTCTGTGGGGTCTCCACCTCCCCAGTGTCCCCCTCTGTTGGCTCTCCACCTCCCCAGTGTCCCCCTCTGTGGGATCTCTGTGTCTCTATGTCCCAGTGAGAGATGATGAATGAACAGAAACAAATCTACACAGAAACAGTGGGGAGAGCCACAGGGAAAGCCCAGCTAGAATCCCCTCTTGTACAGCGACTTGGGGACCCAGCAACAGCACAAGCCTCCCAAGAACATTAGCTGGCACATGCCATGGCTTATGAAACCTCAGGCCCAGGGTGTACAGTCAGTATGGCAGAGGAAGCTAGGCATGCCCTGGGTCTCCCCAGACCTTGAGCCATGGGCCCCTCTGGAACTAAGGTCTCTCTTGTAAAAGTGTTACTTCACAAGCCTGGTCCATTCATTTTTGTTTTTAAACTGGTGATAAAATGCATACAAAATGTACCTGCTTGGGCTGAGGAGATGGCTCTTTCAATAAAGTGCTTGCCATGAGTTTGATAACCTGTACTCACAAAAAAAGCCAGGAGTGATGGTATATACCTGTAATCCTAGCCCTGGGAAAAGGGAGGAGGCAGAGGGATCCCTGGAGCTCTGGCTAGCCAGACTAGCAGAATCAGGGACCCCAGGTCCTAGAGAGACTCTGTCTCAAAAAACAAAGTAGATGGCTTCTAAGGAAGGAAACTCAAGTTTGGCCTCTGGCCATCACACATATGTGCACCATCATATACGCACACCAGGGGTTTGGGGGAAGAAAGGATAAAGAATTGTCTTTAAAACAAACAAACAAAAATTTCTTTTTGGTCTTTTTGAGACAGGGTCTTCCTGTATCCCCAGCTGGCCTGGAACTCACTCTGTAGACCAGGCTGGCCTTGAATTCACAGAGATCCGCCTGCCTCTGCCTCCCCAGTGGTGGGACTAAAAGCATGTACCACCACACCCTGCTTAAAACAATTTTTTTGAAGTTCTGGTCCCGTCTCTATCACCTGAGTTCTGGAATTACAGGTGTGTTCCACTTCACCCAGTTTATGGGGTGCTGAGAATGGAACCCAGGGCTTGATGCATGCTAGGTAAGCATACTGACATCTGAGCTGTGCCCCCAAACCTCCCAGCCATTTCCAGATGCGCATTCATGAGGGTGTGCAGCCATCACCCTTAATCTATGTCTAGACCATGTTCATCACCTTTATTTCCACTAACAGTCCCCCAAATTCCTACCTGCTCCAACCCCTGACTGTCCAAATTCTTGGTTTGACTGCTCTGTTCCTTAGGGGAGGGGGGCATTGTTTTTGTTTGGGGCTTTTTTTTTTTTAATTTTTATTTATTTTCATTTTATGTGTATGAGTGTTATACCTGCATGTGTATAAGTGCACCCGTGTCGTGCAGTGCCCGAGAAGATCAGAAGAGGGCGTCAGATCCCCTGGAACTGGAATTACTGATGGTTGTTAGCCGCCATGTGGGTGCTGGGAACTGAACCAGGGTCTTCTGCAAGAACTGCTGGGCCATCTCTCCAACCCCAGGACTTATTTTTAATTTTTTTTTTTTTTTGGTCTTTTTGAGACAGGGTCTCCCTGTATCCCCAGCTGGCCTGGAACTCACTATGTAGACCAGGCTGGCCTTGAACTCGCAGAGATCTGCCTGTTTCTGCCTCCCAGTGCTGAGACTAAAGGCCTGCGCCACTATGCCCGGCCCTTATTTTTAATTCTTAATTTTTTTTATTGGCCCTGCAAAGTGGTCCAGTGGGTAAAGGCACTTGCCATGCAAGTTGATGACCAGAGTTCAATCCCCAGAACCCTTGTAAAGGTGGAGGAAGAAAAGCGACTCCACAGAGTTGCCCTCTGACTTCTGTGTCTTCCCTGTGACATGCATGTCTATCACACACAACGGTAAGTTTAAAAGAGTAATGCTTTTTGAAAAATGATTTATTTTTATTTATGTACATGTATGTGTATCTGTGTATGGCTTTGAGCATGTGACTACAGGTGCCTGTGGAGGCCAGAAGAGGACATCAGATCCCAGGGGCTAGATTTATACAGGTGATTGTAAACCGCCTGACATGGGTGCTGGGAACCAAACTCTGGTCCTTTATAAAAGTAATAACTGCTCTTAACTACTGAACCGTCTCTCCAGTCCCACTTTTTGGCTTCCTTTTTTGTTTGGTTTTGGTTTTGGTTTATGAGACAGGATCTTCCTGTAGCTCTGGCTGACATGGAACTCACAGAGATCTGCCTGTCTCTGGAGCCCCAAGAGCTGGGATTAAAGGCATGTGCCATCACACCTTGTTCTGTTTTCTTGGCTTTTTGAGACTGAGTCTTGCTCTGCAGCCCAGGCTGACCTGGAACTCACTATGTAGCACAGGTTGTCCTCAAATTCTAACCCTCAGTCTCCTGAGCAGTAGGATTACATCATTAGCCTCCACATATGGCTCACTCTGGCCAGTTCACATGAATAGACCACACACTGTGTGTGGGGCCACTTAACAGAGCATAGTATTTGGGTATTCTGTATTGTAGCACGTTAGGGCTTCTTCATTTTCTATGACTGATACCCATTCTGTAGGTATACCACCCTCTCGTTCCAAGACCTGGAAGGGAGTACAGCAGCAGTGTTTTACACATGGGTAAACTGAGGCTAGAGGGGACACATTTGCCATGCTGGGGGTGCCAGCTTCCAAGATCTCAAAGAGCCTGGCATGGTGGGCACAGCATTCAGGTAGTTAAGGCAGGAGGATCTTAGTAAGTTTAAGACCAACCGGGACTACATAGCAAGACCCTGTGGCTCTTTTTTTTTTAATTATTATTGAATTTTTGTACATTTCATACAAAAATCTTAATCATCTTTACGCCCCCTCCCCCATCCACACCCCTCTATAGCCCCGATTTCATGGATTCTGTCATATATGTTAAGGTCTTTTGGGTCAAATTAGTCTACCCAGGTGTCCCTCAGTGCACGTTCATCCACTGGGGTCTAGTCAGTCTATCTAGTTTCTTTCTTAAGGAAGATTCCTCACCCAGCAGTAATCAGCTGCCAATAGTTCTTTACCTAAGGTTGAGGTCTGCTGTCCATTTCCCCAGTTCTGTGCTTGGTTTTTGTCTGACTGAATTTGCATGGGTTGTTGTGCATGCTGACACCGTTGCTGTAGGTCTGTATGAGCACTGGGACCAGTGGACACACTTTGAGAAGACTTTGCGGGGGAAGTAGGCTCACAAATGAACAGGGCAGGAGGAGGAAGGAGTGAACCAAGGACAGCAGGTGAAAAGGCCTTGAGATGGGAACAGGAGTGCAGGTGCAGGGACCACAGAGCAAGTACACAGACTCTGGACTGGATGAGACCTTGTCTACCGTTCCTCTGTCCACCTCCAGGAAATGGCAGCAGCCAGAGCTGGCCTGGGCCGGATCCACCCGGAGTCCTCCATCCTGTTCCTGTGTGACATGCAGGAGAAACTTCAAGACAAAGACGTCTACTTTCCACAGATTGTGTCTATGGCTGCTCGAATTCTTATTAAGGTACATACCAGCATTGCCTTCCCAACACCCAGGGCTCCAGACCACAGGGCTACTCCCTCAGATCTAGGGCTCCAGGCCCCACCCTCCTCCCTCAGACCCAGGGCTCCAGGCCCCAGCCCTGCTCCATCGGTCCTAGCCCTTTGTTTCCCCTCCCTCAGGTGGCCCGTCTGCTGGGTGTCCCCGCTGTGCTGACAGAGCAGTACCCACAAGGCCTGGGCCCCACAGTTCCCGAGCTGGGGGCTCAGGGCCTGCGTCCAGTGAGCAAAACCTGCTTCAGCATGGTGCCCTCCTTGTAGCAGGAACTGGACAGCTGGCCCCAGCTGCGGTCTGTGCTGCTCTGTGGCCTTGAGACTCAAGGCTGCATCTTGGTGAGACACTTTTGTCCCAGGAGTCACCTCTTCTACCTGGTGGCCCTCCCTCTGTCCTTTATCTTACCCTAGGGCCCTGGCTGTGATCTGAGCCTGCCTCACCTGCATTTCCAGTACCCAGCCCCTCACTGGGGACTCCATTAGCACTCTGAGACTCACCTTTGACCTCTCTCTGCCTCTAGCACATGGTCCTGGATCTCCTGAGCTACAGGTCCACGTGGCGGATGTCCGCTCTTCTCGAAGGTGAGAGGGTTGCCATAGTGGCAGATGTATGTTGGGGGCACCGGCCATATGTGTCAGACATGTCACAGCATAGACACTGCCCTCTCTTCCTCCTCCTCCCTCTCCTGCAGTGAGTTGAACCGCATGGTGGCGCTTGCCCGAATGCAACAGAGTGGCATCTTCCTCTCCACCAGCAAGGTGCTGATTTTGCAGCTTGTAAAGCACACTGCCCACCCACAGTTCAAAGAGGTAAAGGACCCTCTGGGTCCTTCCCACTAAGCCCTTTTCTGCCCCCCATCATACATGTATAGGAGAAATATTTTTCTTCTTTTTTTTTTTTTGTTGTTATTTTGTTTGGGTTTGAGTGTGTGTGGGGGGGTTGTTTTGTTTTGATATCTTTGAGACTGGGTCTCTCTGTAGCCACAGCTGGCCTAGAACTCACTATGTAGAACAGGCTGGCCTCGATCTCACAGAGATTCACCTGCCTCTGCTTCCCATATGCTGAGATTAAAGATGGGCACCCCCTATGCCAAGCTATGGCTTTTTTGTTTTGTTTTTTTTTTTAAGACAGGATCTCCCTGTAGCCTCAACTAGCCTGGAACTCACTTTGTAGACCAGGCTAGCCTCAGTCTCAGAGAGATCCACCTACCTTTGCCTCCCAAGTACTGGATCTAAAGGTATGTTCCATTATACCTGGCCTTGTTTTGTTTTTTGAGACAAGGTCTTATGCATAGTAGAAATGTTTATTCTTTTTTAATATTTTATTTATTATTTCTATTTTATGTGTACAAGTGTATTGCCTGCATGTATGTGAGTGCACCCGTGTCGTGCAATGCCCCGGAGGTCAGAAGAAGGCTTCGGATTCCCCTGGACCTGGGGTTCAGAGCCGCCATGTGGGTGCTTGGAATCGAACCTGGGTCCTCTGCAAGAGCAGTCAGTGCTTTTAACCACTGAGCCATCTCTCCAGCCCCGAAATATTTATTCTTGTTTGTCTGAGACAGGATCTCACTATGTAGCCCTGGCTGGCCTGGAACTCAATGTGTAGATCAGGCTGGCCTCAAACTCACAGAGATCTACCGGCCTCTGTCTCCCAAATGCTGGGACTAAAGGCATGTGCTACCACGCCTGACAAGACCTCTTTTTTTATTTTAATTTTTAAAATTTATTTTTTTATGTGTATGCATTTATTGCCTGCATGTGTGTAATGCAATGTGCCATGCAATGCCCTCGGAGGACAGAACAGGCCATCAAATCCCCTGGAACTGGAGTTACAGACAGTTGTTAGTCGCTATGTGGATGCTGGGATTCAAACCTAGGTCTTCTGCAAGAACAACCAGTTTTCTTAACTGCTGAGCCATGTCTCCATCCCCTTAATTTTAATTTTTTATGTGTATGAGTGTATTGCCTTCATTTATATAAGAGCACCCATGGGCAATGCCCATGGAGGTCAGAAGAGGGCGTCGGATCCCCTGGAATTAGAGTTACAGATGGTTGTTAACCGCCATGTGGATGCTGGGAACTTAACCTTGGTCTTCTGCAAGAGCAGCCAGTGCTCTTAATAACTGCACCATTTCTGCAGCCCCTGGCCAGCTTTTCTTTATCTTTAGTGTATATGGTGTGTGTGTGTATGTGTCTCATGGCCCATGTGTGGAGGTCAGAGGACAACATTTGGGAATCACTTCAGTTCTCTCCTGTCTTATGAGCTTCCAGGATGGAATTTGGTTGGTTATTCTTGCACAGCAAGTACTTTTACCATGAGCCATCTCACTAGCCATCTTTTTTCTTTCTTTTTCTTGTCTTTCTGAATAGTGTCTCACTCTATAGCCCAGACTGGCCTCAAACTCATGACAATCCTCCTGCCTCAGTCTCCTTTGTGATAGAATTACAGCTATGCACTGCTATACCCAACTGAGAGCTACCATTTCTTTGGGTTTCAGGAACAGGGCAGGTTGAAATGTCAGTGGAATGGGAGGCTGAGTTCTCATGGGGGATCATTCCCCACCACCATAAATGAACAAGGGATATCAGATGGCCACAGGGCTGTGGTGAAATAACCTAAGGGACCATCTGAAGTGTCGGGGTGCAGAGGAGGGGGTTACCTACGGTAGTCCCAGGGGCCTCCTAGAGAATGTGACTGGAGTGAAGAAGGGAGGAAGAGTCCAGTGGAGACCCTACCAGCCGAAGCCCTTGGCACCCCCCCAACATCTAACTCCGTCCAACCAGTGTCTGCCTCATCAGGTCCTGGTGCTCCTTCTGCAGTCCCTCAGCCCTCGTGCCCATTTCCAGAGTGGCCTTCCTGGTACCATTGTCTGACCAGGTCCTAGTCCCTCCCGCTCAAACCCTCACCCTCGAGATGCAGGGAAATTCCGGAGTTGGACATCCCAGGTCCTCTGCCCTGCCCCTCATCCTGTTTTGTTGAGCACTTATTGGGATCTAGTCCATGCCAGCCACTGAGGATCAACCTTCCTGGGGTTTGCATTAGTGTGGTGATAAAAAGCCAGTCCAGGAGGATTGGGGAGATGGGTCCTTTAGTAAAATGCTGGCTGTGTGATGACCTGAGTTCAGCTCCCCAGAACCCACATCAAAGCTAAGTGCTCTGGTGAGGATCCAGAAGGATCCGTGGTTCAGTCAGAGACCCTTTCTCAAAAAGTAAGGGGAAAGCTGCCTAGCTTTCATTTTCAGCCTCCGTGTGTGTGTGTGTGTGTGTCTGTGCGTGCATGCACACACACACGCACAGACACACACACACACACACAGCCAATCCAGGGTTTGGGATGTAACTCAGTTAGTGAAGAGCTTGACTAGCATTCAGGAAGCCCCTGTGTTTGATCCCCAGCACCTTATGAACTGGGTATGGTGGTGCATGCCTCTAATTCCAGAACTCTTTATTTTATTTTGTTTTAAATATTTTATTTATTATTTTTATTTTATGTGTATGAGTGTATTGTCTGCATGTGTGTAAGTGCATCCATGTTGTGCAATGACCACAGAGGTCAGAAGAGGGTGTGGGATCTCCTGGAACTGGAGTTACAGATGATTTTTAGTTGCCATGTGGATGCTGGGAATCGAACCTGGGTCCTCTGTAAGAGCAGCCAGTGCTCTTAACCGCTGAGCCATCTCTCCATCCCCTTGGGATGGGGAATGTTGCTCAATGGTAGAACATTTGCCTTCTACCCCAGCAACACTGTCAACTGCAACAACAACAAAAAAAGAAGCTAGATGTGGTGGTGCTTGCCTTTAATCCCAGCACTTGGGAAGCAGAGGCAGGTGAATCTTTGCGAGCTCGAGGCCAGCCTGGTCCACACAAGTTCTATGCCACCTGTGGCTCCAGAGAAACCCTGTCTTGAAAAAAGGGAAAGAGGGGCTGGAGAGATGGCTCAGCCATCTCACTTCATACGGTATATATCTTGCAGGTTTTTCTAAGTCAGCTTTGCCAATTGAAAGGTTAAGAACACTGTTCTTGCAGAAGACTCAGGTTCGAATTCCAGAACCCACATGACAGCTAACAACTGTCAGTAACTCCAGTTCCAGGAGATCCAACAGCCTCTTCTGTCCTCTGTGAGCATTGCATGACATGGGTGCACTTACCAACATGCAGGCAATACATGCATACACATAAAATAAAAGTAATAAAATATTTTTTTAAAAAAGAAAAATAAAAGAAAGCCCATGTGAGAGGAGTGCACGGAATAGGAGCTGACGCAGAGAAACTTGCATGCATGCTCATGAGTTTGTCTTATGTCTTTCCACCAGGATATCCCAGGGGCTACTGGGGACCATAGGCAGGAAAAAGAACTGCTTCCTAAAATCTCTTTAAAATTTGTATGAGTGTTTTGCCTATATATGTATGTAAATTCATGTGACTGCAGTGCCCACAAAGGCCAGAAGAGGGCATTGGATTCCCTGGAACTGGAGTTAGCTGGTTGTGAGCTACCATATGATGGCTAGGAACTGAACCTGGGTCCTCTGCAAGAGCATCAAGTGCTCCTAACCACTAAGCCACCACTCCAGGCTCCTAAAATCTATTTTAAAACATCTTCAATAAACTCCAACTGTTTCATTTTGTTTTAAAGCACATGAGAGCTGGCCACCACCAGATTGGCACCTTAATACTATATCTAAATAGCCAATGGATTAGGTGGCATGGGACAGAGAACAGAGACCATCCAGGAGGCCACTTCAGGCATCCTGGAGTCATTCATGAGAGGGGTGGGGGCTAGAGGCAGTGAAGATGCAGGCTTTGGATTTTCTTGATTCATTTTCTGAAGATAAACTTGGCTGGACTTTCATGAAGGAACTGTGGTTGGTTTGTCCTGTTCAACCAAGAGGGAGTTGTGTAAATGGACGGAGTTCATAAGCAGAGTTTGGGCTTGTATGGGGGGTGCTGAGGGCTGAAAGGAATGATGGGAAAGAGATTAGTGAAGAAGAGGAAGGTGTAGGCAAGAGACTCCAAGCAGAGCCATCCACCCTTAGTGGTCCAAGGCCCGAAAGACCAAGATGGCAAGCAGTTAGGCCCTCGACCAGGCAGGTATGGTGTGAAGGAGGTCCCGGGAAAACTTTTTAAGAGAGTGGCTGACTGGGGAAGGGATGCTGTCAGGACAACCGGAGAGGTGAAGATGAAGAGATGGCCCTCACCTCAGACTGCTCATCAGGGAGCTAGGGAACTTCTTGACTTCTTGACCCAGCCCCCATCTGCCTACAGATACAGAAGATCATTAAAGAGCCAGCTCCAGACTTCGGACTGCTGGGCTTCTCCCCAGGCGAGACCAACCCCCTGGTGCTGAACTCCAGACCCTGACTTGAGGGGGGACTCACTCTCCTGTCACCTAAACATCAGTGAAACGGTTCACCCGACACACACACATATTCCTGGATCCCAAGAGTGGTGCAGTCCACCAGGAGTACCGCCCCCATGGGAGGGGAGACGTCGTTCTGCCTCCCGATTGGACAGGTAGTTCCGGAAATGCAAATAGAACTCTGGGTGCAAGGCGAGAATTGGCTGATGTTGAGGTAGAGGAGGGGCTGGGCCCCGGGCCACTTCACGGAGTTGGAAAGGGAGGGGGAAGGAATGTTATAGACTGGGACCCGGACTCAGAATAAACATTGATGTGGCGGTGGACCGAACCATTATTGGGTTTGGGGCACATCAAAGGGGGCTCCAGGGGTCTGCAGGCAGAAGAAAGGGGGAGGGGGCGTCTCCTGCAGGTGGGGACGGGGAGGTGCCTCGTCTCAGCTCCGAGCCTGCGGGAGACACTGGTCATCACCACATCTGCACGGAAGCCGGTGCGCATCTGCACGAGAAAGCACTGCCGGCCAGGGTCCCCGCCACGCTGCCTGCCGCCCCCACCCCCGTCGGCGCGCGCACGCCCAGCCCCGCTGGCTGGCAGACACGCGCTGGCGCTGCCTCCCCCGGCTGGCCCCCACGCTGCCACCCCCCGCTTCCCCGAGGGTCCCGCATCCGGAAAGCGAGGTGAGCGCATCCGTACCTGGTGAGGCGGGGGAAACTGAGGCACGGGGAAAGGGGGCGGGGGGAGACAGGTATGTGGATGGACGGACGGATGGATGGGCTGTTGCAGCTTGCTCAGTGGGTCGGTGCTCCTCTAAGACGCAGGATTCTGCAGCCCCTAGGAGACCCGAGTGTTGCAACTCTACAGGCGCCCCCCCCTTCCACCGCGTCAAGCCTCCCCACCCGAGATTCGCAGTCCCCTTTCCCAGTCTTAGGGGCCTAAGAAAGCATCCTGAGTCTGTCAGGGGTGCAGGGACCACCCGGTGGAGCAGTCGGACCCAGCTCACTACCACCACTGCGCAAGGAGGCAGCCCAGACCCCCTCCCAGAAGCCCGGGCCCCAGAGCCACACAGCCCAGCACACCCTCCCCAAGACCCAGGAGTCCCAGCCGTCCTCCGGAGCCCCTCAGGAACACGGGCGTCGAAGCCCCGGCCCCCGCCTTCCGGATCCAGGTGTCCCCTCCGCACACCCAGCCCTGAAGCTTGCGTCTCGAGGCCGCGCTCGCGTCGCCATGGCAACGGGAGTCTATTTTGCGCTGGGAACACTCAGCTCTCTCCGCAGCGCCCCCCCACCCACCCCGCTTAAGAGTGGGGGGTCAGAGGGGCGGGGGGCCAGCCGACTGATGGGGATCAGATACTCTGAGGGACAAAGCCCCGGGACAGACATGCGAGATGTCTGGGCAGAAGGACTGGGTGTGGAGGCTACAAGGAAGGACGCAGAGCGAGGCGGGGGAGGCTGAGGATAGAGGCCCCAGACAGAGAGATGCCGGAACCGAGCCCCAGGCAGACGCCAGGAAAGCCAGGCCCGACGGCAGATCCCAGTTAAGGAGAACAGGCAGCTGGATAGAGGCAAGGGGTCCTAGTAGGAGGATGGACAGCGTCGTCAGGCAGGGACCCTAGACAAGGCGCTGTTCCTGGTGCTGGGGACGTCCCTCGGAGATGTCCATGCGGTGGTCAGGACCCCATCCCCTCTTTCCTCTTCTGCAGTTCCCCAGTCTTGTCTACTCCCTGCCCCAAACTGCCCTTCCAACCCCAGCGAGTTCTAGGAGCCCCTCCTCTTGTTCTCCAACCCCTGCAGTAATCTGCCCACCCCTGTCCTACCCCCTCCCCTCCGCAGCTGCACCTGCAGACCCCATTCCGGCCATCTTAGAGGCACCTTCTTGGTGACCCCCCCCATCTCTGGGTCTCACCACCCACTCCCCCTCATGGTCCCCCTCTAGGACTCTCTGTTCCTCTCTGGGGCTCCCACTCTCTCTCTCTCCATCTCTTTCTACCTTCCACCACCACCCACCATGCCTTGTACCACCTTCAGTGGGCTCTGTCTCTTCCCTGAACCTCTGTGCCTCTCTTCAGTGTGTCTTTCTCTGGTTCCCAGGCATCCCTCACCACGCCTCCCCCCCCATTTGCTGCTGTTCTCTACAAGGACCCTCAAGAGTCAACTCACTCTGATCGAGCCCACTCCACCCCTGTCATCCTAGCCAAGATTCTCCACCCCCAGCTGGCAGGGTTAGGACTAGGGCCTGGTGGGCCCTAGGTTAGGACTAGGGCTTCTCCCTTGCCTGGCTCCCTCCTCGATGCTCTCTGAAGTCCTGAGCTGGGTTTGAGGGCCCAGGCAAGGTGCATGGCAGCAAAACGTCGGGTTTTGAGGCCCCAGCCCCCACCCCCCGGCCTGTGGAGGAGGACATCGCTGAGTGTGAACCTGAGAGGTCGGGGTGGCGTTGGGCTGGGGGCAGGGCACAGGATGGGGCACGGGATGGGCAGGGGCCAGGACCTCACAGGCCTGTTGCAGACTGCACAGAGGCCAGGGCAAGCTTGCATCTACATGGCTGCAGGACAGAGCCAAGATGGGTGTGGATACCCCTGCTCCAGTGCAGTGGGTTGGGTCTTGGGCTGTAATGTTTCTGGGGTGCCTTGGCATCTGAGTCTTGGGCACTGACGGTCAAAATGTGTGGAAATACATGCATGTAGAGTGGTGTGTGTGTGTGTGTGTGTGTGTGTGTGTGTGTGTGTGCGCGCGCACATGCATGCACACACACAAGCATTGGAGGGGGCTATAGGTGTGTCACCAGGCTGACACTGGGTGTCCTTGCATTGGGGCACTGCCTAGGTGTCGAGTGATCTGTGTCACTATCAGTTCTGTTGTGCATCTGAGCAGTCTAGTGTGAGGAAACCAGAGAACTATCACCCATCTCCAGTGTCTACAGAGCCTGCTGCACCTGCAGGTGGGTGTCCATTCTCTCTCGGCCAGGCCCCTTCAGCCACTGTACAACGTGCCTGATTGTACACAGCAGTGCTCAAAGGATGAAGTGGTCTATAGGCTGCTTGTAGCACTTCCATCTCTGAGTGTGTCTAGACACACCTCTAGACCAATGCCTGGAGACCCAGGTTCAAAGCCCAGTCTGAGTCTGGGCACTGTGGCGCCCAGGCAATTGATGGAACCTCTTGGAACCTTCTCATATGAAGTGTCTGTGTGTAGGGGCATGTGTGTGTGTGTGTGTGTGTGTGAGAGAGAGAGAGAGAGAGAGAGAGAGAGAGAGGGGAGAGAGGGAGAGAGAGAGAGAGGAACACACACCTGCCTTGCATACTTCAACACTTACCATGAGGTAATTTTTTTTTCTTTTTTTGGTCTTTTTGAGACAGGGTCTCCCTGTAGCTCTAGCTGCCTGGAACTCGCTCTATAGACCACGCTGGCCTTGAACTCACAGAGATCTGCCTGCCTCTGCCTCCCAAATGCTGGGATTAAAGGAGTGCGCCATCACACCCAGCTTTTCAGGTAATTTTTTATTGTATGTGTGAGTGTATTGCTTGCATGTGTGTAAGTGCACCCATGTCCCGTGTTGTGCAGTGCCTGGAGAAGTGAGAAGAGGACATCAGATCTCCTGGTATCGAAGTTACAGGTGATTGTTAGCCACCATGTGAGTGCTGGGAACCAAATCTGGGTCCTCTGCAAGAGCAGCCAGTGCTCTTAACCACTGAGCCATCTCAGTGTTTTTTTCCTGAGCATTTACTATGTATCAGGCACCTGTTCTGGTGCTGAGGAGAGGCGGCAGTGATGTGGACCAAACCACCTGCCTCCATGGAAATTCTAGTCTAGCAGGGGGAGACACAGGATAAGGCGATGTCTGTTCTGGGGCAGATGCACATCGGAGTTACAGAGGACAACCAGCAGTGCAAGAACCCCAGTAGGTCTGGAGCTGCTGTGGAGCCCTGAGATGATAGGTGAGCTGTGCTGAAGGGGGGAGTGGTCAAGCCCAGATATGTAGAAAGGGATCCCAGACATGGCGACAGCAAGTGCTCTGGCCATGGAAGTGGGGCTTCATGATCTTAGACCTAGAGGAAAAGGAGGCGATGGGCACTCTAGGAAGGGTAGAGTGGGGATCTACTCTTTAAGTGAGACAGGAAGTCAAGGGCTGGTCTGAACAGGAAGCTATTGATGTCATCTGCCTATTCTTTGTTGTTTTGACTTTTTGTTCTCATGTAGCCAGAACTGTCCTCAAACTCACTAAGTGGCTGACCTTAATCTCTGACCCTTTTGCCTCCACCTCCCAAATGCCAGGATGACAAGCAGGGCTGCCATGCCTGGCTTCGTTCTTATTTTTATTGTGGTAAAACATATGGGTTTAGAAAGATGGCTCAGTGGTTAAGAGCACTGGCTGCTCTTGCAAAGGACCCAGGTTCGATTCCCAGAACCCACATGGCAGCTTACAACCATCCATAACTCCAGTAACAGGGGATCTGACACCCTCTCTGACCTCCGTGGGCATTGCACAACATGGGTGCATTTACATACATGCAGGCAATGCACTCACACACATAAAAATAATATTATTTCTGCCGGGCATGTTGGCACATGCCTTTAATCCCAGCACTTGGGAGGCAGAGGCAGGCGGATCTTTGTGACAGCCTGGTCTACATAGTGAGTTCCAGGACAGCTGGGGCTACAAGGAGACCCTGTCTCAAAAAGAAATATATATATATTTTTAAATAATTTTTATTTTTAGCCATTTTAAATGTATAATTCAGTGGTGTCTGGGAGTCTTATGTGATCATCTCTACTATCTAGTTCCAGAACATTCTTCATTTTAATCATATTTATTTATTTATTTATTTATTTATTTATTTATTTATTTATTTATTTATTTGTGTGAGTGTGTGTGTGTGTGTGTGTGTGTGTGTGTGTGCATGCGCGCGCACCAGGATTCAAATTTGGAGGTCATGGGACAACTTATGGAAAGCCATTCTCTTCTTCCACCATGTAGAACCAGGGATGGAACTCAAGTTGTATGTGTGGCTCCTTTCACAGCACAGTGTCCTTAAGATTGATCTATGTTGTAGCATGTAGCATTGCTACTCATCTTCAAGGATAAATACTACTCCACTGTATGGATATACCTCATTTGTTCATCCATTCATCTGCTGACACTTGGTCATTTCTACATTTTTGACTATGATGCATAGGGTCCGTATGAACATTCATGCATACGTTTTGTATGTGCATATATATTCAGTTCTTCGGGGTAAATAACATGGAGTGGAATCTCTAGTTCCTGTAGTAACTTATGTTTAGTGTGTGTGTGTGTGTGTGTGACTCAGGATTGAACCTAGGGCCTCAAGCACACCATGTAAGTGCTCTACCACTGACCTACACCTCCAGCCATCTTTTTATCTTGCTCAGCTGCCCAGGCTGGCCTTGAACTCACTGTAATTCAGGAAGGCTCTGTGCTTTCCATCCTGCCTCAGCACCCCAAGCAGATAGAATGACAGCCCTGTGCCACCACATCTGGCTCTGTGTTTAATTTTTTTATGAACTGCCAAGGCCTTCCACAGTGTGAGCCAAGGCACTTCTAAGACATCCTTTAAACACCCAGTAGAAGGACA